CCCCCCCCCCCCCGGTCCCTGCCCCTCACAGAAGCCTGAGGCTTGGAGCGCCCCTGCTTGGAACACACTTCTCAAGCCAGCGAAGCAGTGCTCAGTCTCTAAGTTACCAGAAGCAGCAGGGCCAACCTCTAGCTTAGGTTTTGAAACACTGGGAGATGCACGTGAATCCACAGGAAGGTGGCAGTCTTTTTTAATGCCATTTTTTTAATGTTTATTTTTGAGAGAGGATGCCTGGGGGGGGGAGGGGCAGAGGGAGGGGGACAGGTGATCCGAAGCGGGCTTGGCACGGACAGCAGGGAGCCCGATGTGGGGCTCGAATTCATCACCCGCAAGATCATGACCTGAGCCGAAGTCGGTCACTCAACCGACTGAGCCACCCAGGTGCCCCTGGCAGTCTCTTTTTAAATCCACCTACGTGTACGTGACGTGTACGGGGCCACCTCGTCAATTCCCACGTCCCATGCTAACCGTCCTATCAGTGACTTCCCCACCCGCACGGCCAGTTCGTACGCTTGGGGAATGATGTGGACCCACATTAGAGCTGTGTAATAATGAGCGAGTTAGGAGGACGGAGGTCTTTGCTTGGAGGTGGCAAAATGGAACGGTTAAGAGCAAGGCGCCCACGGCGCTACTGTCCTGGCTCCACAGCCCAGCTCTGTCGAGGACCAGCTGAGGAATCTTGGGCAAGTTATCCGGCCTCGGTGAGCCCCAGTTTCCTGAACCACAGCATTGGAAGGATACTACGGTGATGAGCGAGGGGAGGTCTGTGCACGAGCTGGCACAGAAGCTGTAAGAAACAGGAGAGGGTGCCTGGCTCAGTCTTCGGACCCCTCCAGCCCTTTGCTTCCTTTTGCCTGGTAGTCCCAGGATCCTTGAAGGACAGAAATTAACGCAAACAGGACGAGGGAAAACCGACATCCGGTGACTTTCTGGAAGCCATCTCGCAAGTCCGCTGACGTAGGCTATTGGAATTGAGGTATCCCGAATCGGAGCCCAATGCCTTTTCTACAAATCAGGCAATTTCCTCTGGGCTCTTTAGCCAGGTTTAATGCACCCATTTACAGTCCTACTTGCTTACAGAACTTGAGCTCATGTGAGGAGATCCAGTTACTTAGATCAGTCTTCAGCATAAAAGAGCGACACAAGGGCATTTCCACGCAAGAGAGCACTTGGTGGTGAAGGCCTGAAGCCTGACCAACCCTGGGCGTGCTGATGGCCGACAAGGGTGGACCCCGGCATAAAGAGATGACCCCAGCTGCAGGTTTATTAGGTCTGTTAGTATGGAAGGACGGCTGGAGGACATCCTCTCTGCCTACCTAGCATCCACCCATTCCAGCCCTTCTACTGGCCAATTCATACAGTCCCATCCCTGCTTCCCATCCATTTCTCTCTCCCATCCACCTGTCTGTTCATCCATCCATTTACCCATCCCTCCCTCTCTCCCTCTTATCCACTTCCAGAGCATCTGCTACTCGCCAGGCCGTGTGACGCCGTGAGGATGCAAAGCAATCGAGGATGCCCAGTTAACAATTTGTGATCCGCCTTTGTAAGGAACCAGCCCTGCTGGAGAGCCAGGCCGCCGTGAACAAGAGTTAGAAGCCCGTCTTTCCATTTCTGCTTCCATATACTCGGCTGATTTTTCCAAGTGCCGGTGTGATGAAGGTGACTTGGTATTTTCACAAGAAGAGTAAGCCTCCCTACCAGGTTCTAGACTCTATTTAGATCACAGAGTGTTAGAAGCAATGTATCTTTGGTTCGATCTTTCCTTTCCAGATAAGGAAACGTAACTTGCTTCAGGTCTCCCTGTGTACACAGGCTGGGGACTTGCAGGTTCCGAATGTGGCATCGGGGGGATGCAGTGAGCCTGGTGTTGGGAGTTGCGTTTAGAACACCCGAGAGCTCTCTGCCAGGCAGAGCCCAGGACAGTGGTCGTCGTGTGACTGCTGGGCCAGCAGCAGCATGTAACCTGCTCTCAGAAATCTGAAATCCTGGGAGCGGGTCCTAGTGCATAGCTCCATCAGAGTCCTCCGGGGGACCCTGAAGCACCTGCCTGTTCAACCATCACCGCTCCTGGGGATAAGCTCTGCCGGAGGGACTTTCACCTGGAAAACGCCTGGTCTGTTCTCTGTCCCTTTGTGTAATTATCAGAACACAGACCTCAAGACAGACTGTGTCCAAAGGATTTTTCAATCTTCTACAGACAGGGACTGACATAGTAGCAAGGAACCCAGGCTCTGGTGGAGGCAGATGATCAGAATTTGGATCCTGATGCTGCCACTTAGTACCCAGTGGGTTGGTGGCCACAGCTTCCGGGCACATTCCTCAAATAATAAAATGACAAAAGCCTCGATCACCTCGGTTGCTTTGGCATCAATGAAGTGACACCTGTAAGTTCCTAGAACAGGGCCCAGTACAGGGCAAGTGCTCTATAAATGTTA